GCTCTGGAGGCAATGCTCAGCACCATCTTCAGGATGAGTACATAAGAAAAGAGGATGATAAGGGCATCGAGCCCCAGCGTGAGAATGACGATGATGAGGCCATAGAGGCTGTTGACGCGGGTGCTGGCACAGGCTAGCCGCATGGCATCTTGGTGAAGACAATATGAATGAGATAAGACATTGGAATGGCAGAAGGGCAGTCGCTTTATAAGGAATGGCACAGGGAAGACCACACAGAATGCCCGGGTGAGGACAGCTATTCCAATCTTTCCAATAACATCATGGGTGAGGATGGAGGCGTAGCGTAGTGGGTCTCGGATAGCCACAAATCTGTCAAAGGCCATGGACACTAGAACTCCGGATTCTACTACTCCAAAACCATGGATAAAGAACATCTGTGTGATGCATGCATCAAAGGAAATCTCAGGGGCATTGAACCAGAAGATGCTGAGCATAGTTGGCAAGGTGGACATGGAGAGACTAACATCAGTCAGAGCCAAGAGAGAGAGAAAGTAGTACATGGGCTCATGGAGACTCTGGTCCACCTTGATGACTGCCAGAATGGTACCATTCCCCAAGACGGTTAGTGTGTAGAGAAACCCCAGTGGAAAGGCCATCCATGGGTTCTTGTCTGGCATCCCTGGGATACCTGTCAGAAGGAAACTATGGTGATTGGCCTGTGATGTGCTCAAGTTCATCATGGTCTTCTCGTCACTGGATGAAGTTGGACTCTCCCACTTAGCTCACAGCTCCTAAATTGAAATGATTTATTTAGGAGATAAGTAAATGACTTTATGAGTACACAGATTAAAAAAAAAGCAGAGGGAAGAATTGGGTTAGAAATTAGTGTCAAGATATTTTCTGGTTTGTATTTTTTTTATTCCTAGAGAGTTGTATGTAATTGCCTCCTTTTTCTTGAATTTAACTTGTTCTTCTGAAAAATGGAGATGAGATTGAATACCCAGGGTTCATACAGGAGATAATTTGGATTGCTTCTCCTTTGGCAATCCTCAAGGTTTGTCAGAAAAGAATTAGCCATATCCAAGGACTTAATAACAGAGCATTTGGTTAAATAATAGTAACTTTAAAATCCCACTTAACTCAATGCCATCACCACATTACACCAATACAGAATTCCACTGCCAACACAAATCCACATCATATAAGTCCGTGTGAGTATATTTAAAAAAATAACACACACACACACACACACA